CATTCGTTTTCTAACTTGCTAATTGCGGCCATTATACGCTGCCTTAATGATACTTAGCACATAATAGGTGCTTTAAAAATAACTTGCTGACAGTGAGTATGAAACTACACTTTTTTTTTTTTTTTTTTTTTTTTGAGACAGAGTCTCACTCTGTTGCCCAGGCTAGAGTGAGTGCCGTGGCGTCAGCCTCGCTCACAGCAACCTCCAACTCCTGGGCTCAAGCGATCCTCCTGCCTCAGCCTCCCTCCGGAGTAGCTGGGACTACAGGCACGCGCCACCACACCTGGCTAATTTTTTCTATGTATTTTTAGTTGGCCAATTAATTTTCTTTCTATTTTTAGTAGAATATGGGGTCTCGCTCTTGCTCAGGCTGGTCTCGAACTGCCGACCTTGAGCGATCCTCCAGCCTCGGCCTCCCAGAGCGCTGGGATGACAGGTGTGAGCCACCGCGCCCGGCCTGAAACTATGCTTTTAGGGGAGCAATGGTGACTCCATGAGTAGGTTGTCAATTCCTGCCAGGCAAACGCCACGCCCTGTTTTTGTTCCACGTTCCCTTTGGCTCTGGTCACCGTGCAATGTGATGTGATTAAAAATTCCATTCGCCGAAGAGTGAGTGAGCGTGGGGGCCGAGTGAGATCCTAGCTCAGCTGCTGCTCGGGAAACAGAGATGAATGAGATGCAATCTTCACCCTCCAGATTTCTCTATCAGGAGGGATAAGGAACCTGTGCACATAACCATAACTCAGGGAAACACAGGGCAGGTGTTTTAAGAAAGAAATTAACATGGTGACATAGGAGATTTAAAAGTGGGAGAGTTTGCACTGAGTGGGAAGGTGCACAGAGGCAGCGTTTAAGAAAGTGCCCAGGCTGGGCACGGTGGCTCACGCCTGTCATCCCAGCACTCTGGGAGGCTGAGGCAGGAGGATCACTCAAGATCAGGAGTTCGAGACCAGCCTGAGCAAGAGCGAGACCTACTAAAAATACTAAAAATCTCTACTAAAAATAGAGATTAATAGGCCAACTAAAAATATATGCACACAAAAAAAATGAGCCGGGCATGGTGGCACGTGCCTATAGTCCCAGCTACTCGGGAGGCTGAGGCAGGAGGATCGCTTGAGCCCAGGAGTTGGAGGTTGCTGTGAGCGAGGCTGACGCCACGGCACTCACTGTAGCCCGGGCGACAGAGTGAGACTCTGTCTCAAAAAAAAAAAAAAAAAAAATTAAGAAATTTCTAAGTGCATAGGGATTGAAAACACAGCCATGCACCGTTTAACAACAGGGGAGACAGTCTGAGAAGTGCACCGTTAGGCAGTGTCCTTGTGCGACCTTCACGGAGTGTCCCTGCGCAAATGCCTGCCACACACCTGGGCTAGGTGGATTAGTCTTTATTGCTCCCGGGGCTACAGAGCAGTGCAGCAGGTCACCGAGCTCAATATCGCAGGCAATTGTAGCACAACGGCAAGTACCTGTCTATGCAAATAGATCTAAACATAGAAAAGGCACAATAAAAATCCGGTGTCTTACTCTTAAGGGACCCCTCTCACCTGCACGGTCTCTCCTGAACTGAAACCGAAACATTATCACGCAGCACTCGGCTGCATGTGCTCAGTAAATGGATATAGATCATCGTGGGCGAGCTAAATCCGTTCACCCAACACGGTTTGAGCGCCTACTGTGTGCCGGGCATACTCCAGGCGTGCATCGGTGAAGAGACGAGAAAAATATTTGTCCTTCTTTTCTTTTCTTTTCTTTTCTTTTCTTTTCTTTTCTTTTCTTTTCTTTTCTTTTCTTTTCTTTCTTTTCTTTTTTTCTAAAGGGTAGAAAATGATATTCTATGAATGTCCTTCTTTTCTTTTCTTTATTTTATCTTATCTTATTTTTTGAGACAGAGTCTTACTCTGTTGCCCTGGCTAGAGTGAGTGCCGTGGCGTCAGCCTCGCTCACAGCAACCTCAGACTCCTGGGCTCCAGCGATCCTCCTGCTTCAGCCTCCTGAGTAGCTGGGACTACAGGCATGCGCACATCCAGTCATTTTTTTCTATATATTTTTAGTTAGCCAATTAAGTTCTTCTGTTTTGGTAAAGACAAGTTCGCTCTTGCTCAAGCGGCCCCACCTCAAACTCTGACCTTGAGTGATCTCCGCACTCGGCCATCGACCCAGATGCGAGGAGACAGGCGTTGAGCCACCGTGCTGTCCAGGGTTCAGTATTTGAATGAAGGTGACGGTTTTGTGCTGGCATGCAAATTATGAAACGCACACTTAATTATGTCATTTTTGTTTTTTATTTTATTTTTTATTTGTTTTGAGACAGCGAGTCTCACTTTGTTGCCCCCGGGCTAGAGTGACGTTGCCGTGGTCAGCCACGCGTCCAGCAAACCTCCATCACTGGCTCAGGCGGCATCTCTGCTCACGCTCTCCCGAGTGCTGGACACCAGGCATGCACCACAACGCGCTTCATTTTTTCCAATATATAATCATAGTTGGCCATATTCTTTATTTATATGTCAACGATGCGGGGTCTTGCTCTTGCTCAAGGCTGGTTATCGAACTCCCTGACGCTCGGCAATCCTCCCCGCTCAGCTCCCAGAGTGCTAAGTTTGAGCAGGTGTCGAGCCGCCGTGCCCGGCCTGTCAATTTATTATATATGGTCAATTTTACCTCAGTAATAAACGTGTGAGAAATTCAATCTCAGAGCTTCTTTCTAAAGAAGCAAAATGTTGACTTCTTAATCAGTCTCAGTCTCTCCTAAAGGCACCATTGGATCAGGTGACCCAGGTGATTGTGAGAATCCGGAACGAGCGTTTTCCCGTGAGCTGGATTCACAGCAGGGGGAAGAGAGTTAAATTTCTCAGTGCAAGCCCGTCTGAAGTCATTAAATTCTTAAATAATGGTGTGGATTTCTTCCCAGAGCCACAAGAAAAGCCATGAGACAGGGTGCTACATTTCTCGCCTGTCAAAAACCGGTGGAGCAAGCACAGAAATATAAAATGCCTCATCAAAAAATTAATGCCCCTGCATTCGGAGGCTGTCGTATCTGAGTGACAGATTCTCAGATGAGAAAGAGAGATGCAAACCTACCAAACCACACGGGTTAAGTCATTAAATTCTTAAATAATGGTGTGGATTTCTTCCCAGAGCCACAAGACAAAGCCATGAGACAGGGTGCTACATTTCTCGCCTGTCAAAAACCAGTGGAGCAAGCACAGAAATATAAAATGCCTCATCAAAAAATTAATGCCCCTGCATTCGGGAGGCTGTCGTATCTGAGTGACAGATTTCAGATGAGAAAGAGAGATGCAAACCTAAACCACACGGGTTGATTTTTCTCTTTTTAAAAATATAACAGCGATATTGATGTCATACTTGAATAGATAAGAGTCAAAGTAGAATCGCTCTCTCTCTCTCTCTCTTTTTTTTTTAATAGAAAATCTAAACTGGTTTTGCCAGGATTAACAATGACAAATAGTAAATCCCAGGCAAAAGAAGATGAATTTCAGGGCCAGACTTAAAGGACTAGATTAAATGGAATGAATAGCCCCATACCCAGGATGGGAAAGAAAGAATTTGTACTGAGGGACTAAAAAAATGTGATTTTTGTGTCCGTCTTGACTGGCACCAGGGTACGTACGAGCCCCTGTGGTTCAAAGATGGGGTTCTAGGTTATTTCGCTAAGTGTTGTTAGGTGTTTAAAAACAGAGACATTCCAGCCAGAGCAAGAGCGAGCCCCCGTCTCTGCTAAAAAAAAAAATAGAAAGAAATTAGCTGGACAACTAAAAATATATATAGAGAGAGAGAGAAAAAAAAATTACCCGGGCGTGGTGGCGCATGCCTGTAGTCCCAGCTACTTGGAAGGCTGAGGCAGGAGGATCGCTGGAGCCAAGGAATTTGAGGTTGCTGTGAGCGAGGCTGACGCCACGGCACTCACTCTAGCCTGA